ACACCATTATTTTCAGAAATTGATGTTAGGATCAAAAAAACCCCTTTTTAAGGAGTTGAGAAATCAAATTGATCCCTCAAAAGAGTTGGACATCATTTTGATCATTTTCTCTTATAATTTAGTAGAGGCAATGGAAGGCAGGGCTAGATTTGAGCAACAGATTGGGTAGCAGATATCTTAACAAACTTTGACCCTGATCCGATAAAAATTTGAAACAAAATAGTTGTCAGCTTAAGAAGGCTTGAATACCTTTATCAAATTTTATACAGAATTATCCGAAAAATAATTCTAATTTATTCTCACATTTTATACCAAGTTCTTGATAAATTTTAGGCTCCGTATCTAACAGTGGGCAACCTTGCTTTGCAACAATAAAACTATTTCAGAGAAAGAAAACCTTACTTCGGGAAAACAAATAAAGAAACACCGTACTCTAATTGCTTGTCTACTCTACCTAACATTTCCAAAACAAAGCATTTGAAAGGGAAATTATGCATTTCCCAGATCTTTATATTGTTTTCTAAGCCAAAGGAAAAAATAAAAAGTAATAGAAAGAAAACTCACGAAAATTCAGGTCCTTGGTAAGCTCCCTGGCCATCAGAATCATGGGTACTTTTCATTATCAAGCTTTCAATTTCAAGATCAGAAGAACTGATATTGCAACCAATTTCCAAGACAGGACCCTCCCCTTTATCTATAGCAACAAGAAGAGAAATATTTGGAGCAGCAGCACTCTCCTGATCAACCTCGCTATCGTCTTCATCATCTTTGCTCATATCTTCCCCATCAACATTCATATATACTGTAGCATGGATGTTCTCACCAGCAAATTCACGCTTAAGAATGATTGTTTGATCGCCGGATTTATCAATGATTTCAAAGGGAAAATCTTCTGGAGCATCGACTTCCTGCAAAATCGCCAGGTTCAGCATTATATATATATTGAATGTGTACCATACAGATTTAGGAACAGAAGAGTGCACAAAACACTACCAAGTGTGATTTTGGTAACAGCTTGTGGAATCAATCATGTATGAAAATGCATTGCCAGATGCGATGTGGTTAATTATACCATCCAATTACTATGTAAATTGGAAGAACCTAAATCTGTTAAATAATACTCTTGATACAACAAATCAAGAAACATATATAATTCAGTTAAGAAATACATCATAACATTCAGATATGAAATACTATCATCATCATCACCATTATGCTAATTCCAACTATTTGGTTTCAGTTTTATGAATGAATCCACATTATGCACTCATCTCATTGAGTGCACATAAGATTTAAATATATCCTACACTTAACAAAAAAATTGCATAAGCTATATACATGTTATCTTTGAACTAACCACCTCCTCAACCGTTTAGCATTAACTTCGACTAGCTATTTTATTAGTGCATTTATACAGCACATCGCACGAACGCAACCCTATTAGGGTATTTCAACTATCTTATCTTTAATGGACATTACTCCCACAATCCTATTAAAATAATAATTTCTCATTCTATTCCAATTAAGCTTTGTCAAACATGCATCTAATATAGCTAATGATTGTTTGCCTATGATGTACCGATACTTCTTCTTAAAGAGGTCAACATTTGCCTATGATCTCATCTATGCAACACTTAACTTAATATTATGCTTCTCTTTTAATGGTCAACATTCTATACCATAAAGCATTGAAGGTCTAACCACCATCTTGTAGAATTTTCCCTTAAGTTTGAGGGGGACTTTTCTAT